CTTACTTGTTTACTTTATATTTATCTTTGTAATTTTAGAATGGAATAAATAAATAAAATGAAAAAAAAAAAAGAAAAATGATGTAACATCGCATGTACATCATAAATTCCCAGTTTGTTTCTTGCTGTACATCACAACCAAAAAAACTTGTCAAATTAACCAAATCGTTACTGTAAACAGGTCCATGAATGCTCCTATCTCCGACACTTCACACAAAAAAATAACTCTTGCACGTCTTGCGTGCCTATGTTCTAAAAGGGAAACGGCTCTTTCTTTCCTCTTCCTGCTTCTCGTATCTGTTGACAGCCTCGAAAATACTTTTTTTGTGTGCCTATCTTTCGCCCAGTCACGTAAAATATTATCTAGATTCTGAAAACTTTCCGCCACTTTACAAAATTGTTGAAATTGTTTGTTACAATGACGTCATCTAAGCGTCTGTTCTCTAATAGATCATACGTGAGAGCAAATCAAAATGGGAGAATAATTTGACTTATTATATAATTTTCTATTGAATTCATAGTCTTATTGTTGAATAGAAATGTGGCTTTTAGAATGCACTTCCTGACAGGTTGTGTTCTAAAAATAATACAACCTGCCACTCCGTCGCTACCCCTNCACCCCCGCATGGACGTGACAACTGTCCGAGCCTTGATCATGAAATATTTCTTGAAGTTTTGATAAATGTGGCAAGTATAATTTTTGCGAAGAGGGCATCGCACACTGAACTTAAGCAAACGACTGTTGCTATTCATCGCACGTGTAGATGTGACTGACGCATGACGAATATTCCATTTATAACGTACCGGTTGAATCCGAACTGAAACTGACTGAAGAAGCCGGAAGTGAGTTACGTTGAAAATTTATAATAGCTGGGAACTATATGTCAGTAACTCTAACAGCTTCGTGCAAGTAATAGCTAGAAAAGACAAGGAATGTACAAACCTTCCATTTTCTCGAAAGTTATGACGGCTGTTCCTTCCTCTGGAATGTGTATATCATCGATTTCACCTCCGCCATTCTTCTGCCGCTGGAAATGAATCATAACACCTTCCTTTGTAGTCTGTGGCGATATGTTTGATACCACAACACTTCTTGCCGCTCGTTCTTCCTCAACAAGCTGTATGTTTGATGCATTGGACAGATATTTGCCTAAAACGCCTGACATTTTGGGTTACAGCCACGCAAACTTCATGCAAATGACGAGCTCACTAACGCTTTCGATTTTCTGTGAAACGAAGGAGGGAGACTGGGACAAAGCTTCTCGAACTATGACGATGAACAATGCCTTAGTCTTCTTGAATCTTCCTGCCGTTTGATCCGTGAATGTAAGGCAAGATTCTTCACTCTAACTGATCAGAAATGCTCTCATTGTCGCTCTAACAATATCTGAAGGGGAAATATTTCTTTGGTCTTTCGATTTGGACAGGTCTATTCAGTAACATCACAGCCGGGATTCCCGGAAGGCTGAGACTTCCGCTTTCAATTTCTCAGAAATCAGTCGCATATTTAAGTTCGTCCTGCATCAGAGCTTCGACGAACATGGCTGAGAAAATGGCAAACGCAGAAGGAACTCCTGGATCGTCAGTTGTTCAGGTGGAAGGCGACATTCACATCGACCCGGCGTTAGTTTCTCGCAGCGTTTATATCACAGGATTTCGACCGACAACAAAATCGGAAGACCTAATTATTCATTTTCAGCGTTCGAGAAACGGCGGCGGTGATATCGATAACATCGTCGTCAATAAGCGAGGAGCTGCAGTAATAACATTTGACAGCCCCGAAGGTAAAATGTTTATGGTTAGCTTGTGTCCTTATTTCATATTTAGAAGACTCCAACCTCGTGTCGGAGCTTTACGTTTATAAAGAAGTCTGAGAAGTATGTTCAATCGCTGCGTTACTTGTCTAGAAACTGAATACTGCAGTCAGGATCAGTGACTTTCATTTTCGATAACAGTTAAGAAGAGTATCGTTTTACATTTTCCTCTGCGATAATTCAGGCTTTAGAAATGTCTTAGTCTTTCAGTGATCATTATTTTGGTGATCAGTTTTCTCCAAACATATTCTTTTGAGATAGCAAACATTAAAAAATGCGACCTTCTACACGCAGCCAAATTATTTGTGCATGTAATTTTATACGGGACCCGTTAATAAACTTATGCAAACGCAGTGAATATTTATTTGTTAAAGCTTAAACCCAATAACTGAGCGTACACATCTGTAAACGACGCAGAACTGGACAATCTTTTTCTAGTTTCAATTTATTGTAATTTGCATGAGTACAATAATACATAAGGGGTATAACGGCAGTCCACACAGCCATCATGGAGATTAAAAATGTCGCACAATCACGGTTGCGCTCCATTACACATTGCGCCCTCCCGATCTTAGTTTCTAGAGCATAAATATATTCTCCGAAGTAATTATGGGCATCTTCAGCTCAATAGAGAAGTCATAACATGGGTTTATCAGAATCATGAGCCTGTAACTCTTCTTTAGTTCGATTTAGTGTTGTGTTACACTAGGTGTATAGTATCTTTGTTCATATTATTATTTAACTTACTAAATTTGGCACAATAATTGGTGTCTTCAATTTACTTTTTGCTTTCTGTTATACTGCTCGGGCTGCTGTGTTTGGGAACTTGTGTTTCAAGATAGTGTGGCTTGTGACATGTGGTCTGCACAAGCCTTTATTGGAAACTGAACCTGAGATGTAGAGATGCAAAACAGTATTTTTATCTACTTGATCCAATCTCTAAAACAGAAAACAACCAGGTCCCTTGTACTACTACTAGCAAGCAAAAATAAACCTACAGTCACTGATTTGAGACAACATGTCTTCTTCTGCAGTGGTCTTTTTCACAACATACATTCTCCCTAAATTAAATAATTCATTATAACCCCATGAGCACTTACTTTGATTATATCCATTAATTGCCACCTTTCATGATTTGCAAGCTATAAATCAAGAAATCTTTAGTTATTCTTACAGTTCCCTTGTACAGATCTATTTCTCTTTAAATGTTAGCAAGTTTAAATCAGCTTCCATGGATGTTGTTAATACATCTGGGTATTTTCTTGTGCCGACAGTTGTTGAAACAGTTCTACAGAAGGAACAGGAGTTTAAAGGAGCGGCTTTAACAGTGAAACCATACGAGGAACGCATGAAGAAGGATAATCAGGACTATGAGGTATTCCATACCTGGTGTAATGGTTTCTGTAACTTTTATTAACAGTTTAAAAAGGTGATATTTGCATCTTGGTTAAATGCATACTGTCTATGAATTATAATTTGTTTTGCAAATGTAATTTGAGCTTTAATTCAAGGTGCCTTTGAGTCCACAAGGTGTTTCTGTTCTCAATGTTTTTCAAGTTTACAAAGCAATGTCATTTGGAGAAACTGAACATTTCTTTTTTTTACTTTTTCCGTCTAAAAATTCTTCTCTAGCAGGTTTTATAGAATGCCTTTAAAAACATTAATTTTCTACAGCAGTGCATTGTGGGTCTAACTTACATCAACGTTTGTTTCCTTTGGTTAAGGTGTTTGAGCTGGTTTCTGCAGACCTTTGTTTGAAAACTGTGGAACTCCTCACCCGTGGACAAACAAAAACCCTGTTAGACGAAATTGCTCGTAAAACTGGTATTAAGTGGATTGAAGTCAGTGAAACTTTTACTATGTCAGGAGGTTTCAAGCAAGTGGAGCTGTCCCGTACCTACTTACAACAAGCTATAAATCAGTCTGGTGGAATAGCTGTATTTAGTGGCCTGAAAAGAAAAATGACGCAACCTCAGAAGCATGATGAAAACGAGTCTCAGTTTGGATGCGATGAAAACGACGGAGGTCTGAACCAAGCCAGCACCACGGCAATTGCTTTGCAAAATGGGGTTTATCGACGAGACCAAGAGCCGCACAAACCACAGTCCAACCACGTTGCTTCTGTCACAACCCCTGTCATTCAATATTTTGAAGTCGAGCCGAAATTTATAAGAGTTTTTGTCAAGGCACATAAAACTGAAGTAGATGAGATTGAAGCAGAATATCATGTGGAGGTACCAAGAGAGGCCAAAGGAGGCAAAATCAGCCTGGTACCAAAGGATGGGTGCAGTGGTGAAGAATACGACAAGGCCTGCGACCTGTTCATTGACTTGTACCAACAGATGACTAAGGCAATGAAGATGGAACGTTTTTCCTTGAAAAGTGAAAAAAATGTTGTCCGTGCTCGAAATAGAATTCATGAAATGAATAAAACGTTTCCAGTCTGTGTTGATTTGTCAAGGGATCAAAAGCACTGGGAGCTGTACGGAGAAGAACGCCACTTTGAGGCAGCCCTGGAATTTCTTAGAAAGGAGGAGGTAGAAATAAAGAGGGAATCAGGAAAAGGCAAGGGTGCTGGAGAATTTCAAGTATCAAGACATGATGAGGAGGCGATGGATGTGGATCCACCAGACACTTCCAGAGGTTCCCAAAGTGGAGATTCACTAGAAACCTACCTAATAGGTTAGAATACTTTTCATCTTTGTGAATGGAATTTATTAAACAATATGTAAACATCATGCATTAAGATTCTGCGAATAACTGAGACTCTAAATTATCATTGCTCTGTTAATTTTACTGAAAAAAATATATAGGGCCCCGAAATCGTGATACCGACCTCACATGAAAATTGCGTAGGCTTTGTATATGCACCCAGCTAGGCGTCAATACTGTGAGTGTAAATTAGTTATTACATTTCAAAGGTTGCCGGAGGAATGTCATTCTAAGAAAGGAGTTTGCGTTAGTTGCTTTTATCCGGTTTTGGTGAGACTGTTGGGGCCTCCTCACCGGGTGTTAGCTTTTCCTGTTCAGCTGTTGTCACATTTGATTTCGTTTTCAGACAGGACAGATACACCACAACTGAAAAGGCCATAAACCAATTCCTTGGTTTGTCGTGGATAACTAAGGTCTTTTGCGACCTAAAAAATTAGCCTCCACGCAATTCAGTTCTGTAACTCATGTTTTTTCTCTTTAGGTAAATTTAAAGTGTCTGTTTACAAGGGAGATCTTACCAGTGAACGGGTTGATGTCATTGTAAACCCCGCCAACAATCGCCTTCGACACGAAGGAGGTGTGGCTAAGGCCCTACTTGACAGAGGAGGAAAGGTAATCGAGACAGAGTCAAACAAGATTATAGCAAAACGTAAATTATTGAAAGATGGTGAAGCAGTTATGACAAATTCCGGATACCTACCTTGTAAGAAGGTTGTTCATGCTGTAGGACCAGATTTCCGAGACGTAGGATTGCCCCAGAGCAGGATTCTCCTTCGTCGAGCCTGCTTAAACAGTTTAATCATGGCCCAAGACTGCAAAATGACCTCCATAGCATTACCAGCCATGGGCTCCGGCACTTGTGGCATGCCAAAAGAGGAATGCGCCAAAGTCATGTTTGATGCCGTTGAGGAGTTTGTTAAACAAGGGAACCCAAAGAAGAAAACAATCACTGATATCAGATTTGTGAATATTGACGATCCCTCAGTTCAAGCCTTCAGGACGGAGTTCATCTCTAGGTATGGAAATAGCCAAGACCATGCCGACAGTAAAAAGCTGACAAGAGGAAGGTCTATTAAAGTGCCACCAAATGATGCCGAAGGTGCCACCTCTTCATTGCCGTCTTCGTCTAGGTCAGATCGTGGTAGAAACAAGAACAAGAAAAGCTCTGACAACGATCGGATAACAACAAACTCGAGGGACGTATTTGGCAGCCATCATCTCAACGCTGCTGGCAATACTATTGCGTCAGCCGGTCACCCTTTGAGTGTTTCCAATTCAAACACATCTTACAGTGGTGTAGTGAAGAAAAATCCGGGCACAGGAACTGATGCAAGATCGCTCGCAGCTCAAGAGCCTGGTGGAGGAGGCAAACCAGGATTTCATCTTGGGCCATCCATGGACCGAAAACATGAAGGTAAGGAAAACAATACCGAATAAACCAAACATGTACCCTTAATTACAATCAGCGGCGATTATTGTGTGTGTTTTAGCTGGCGGTTCTCCTTAACCGGCAAAAAAGAAAAGTGATGATGATGTTGACCTTTGCACGAAAGCCTGCGTTTGAAAATTAAAAATATTATGCATAGCTGAGTTGCAAAATAAATAACAAATTGGCAAAGAAACAGGCAAGGGCATTGATAGCGAATAAACCAGCATGAATCACTGAGAACAGGAACATAATTGGCTTGATCCCCGATTGAGTTATTAGAATTGTTACCTCAATGGCTGAATGTAAAACTGCATGCTTATTATTCCTTTCCATATAAAGCTTCTAATACCCTTGTCTACGTTGGCCAGCTGACATATAGTTTTTAATATAATCACTTTAACTTGAGCTAAGTCGTTCTGGAGATATAACTCCGTTCTTTTTCCGACTTTCTCGGGCTGCCATTTTGTGAGTCATGTTGCACGATGTGGGCTACATAGAAACCGGTTAAGCTTTAATTTTTTGCAATTTCCTGTGCCACTCCGGGCATTTCTGACTGTCAGCATGACTAACAGTGTAGGTGTGCTGGCTTGAAGCATATGTTTTTTTTTTCCTTCATCAAAAAATGGGTTCAAAAATGCAAGGAAACTGATATCCTCTGAGATGTTTCTCCGGATACTTAACACAGATGGGCTATAGATAACTCTTTAAATCTTTAATTCAGAAACAGAAAGCTGATGCCCTGGACGCCATAATAGTGAAACTACTATCTCGCATAATTCCATGCGATACATTAAGTGTCTTTAAACATTCGGGTTATGTGAATCAAGTCAATAAGAAAAGCGAGCATTTTATCCTGGTGTTTCGGTGAAATGTAGTCCAGATAATGGATACTTGATAACACCTCCAATAGCAAATTACCCCAGGGCTCTACCACCCGTGTGCAGGTGCGGTGGCCTCATGGTTATCGGGTGAGGACATCCTGTTGTGTTCTTGTGCAAGACCGGCACTTAACTCTCACAGTGCCTATCAATCGGTACCTGCGAATTTAATGCCGGGGGTAACCCTGCGATGCACTAACATCCCATCCAGGGGGAGTAGAAATACTCCTAGTCGCTTCATGCTACTGAAACTGAATGCCGGCAAACTTGAATTGACTCTAACCTCCCAGAGATCCCCGCGAGTCGTTATAACTTACGCGCGATAAGACGTTTTGAATATAAAGTTCGATATATGGGCGATCACCAATGGAGATATTGCAGAATTACGTAAGCCTGTGGGAACTAGTAGGAGAAGAGGTCCTGTACAGTAATGAAGAGTTGATATCCGTTGAAAATCAGGCAAGAAACCCTTACTGATATTTAAGCAGAACTCAGTCTTTTGTGCTCGTTTTTCTACCTCTGCTATTTTACCATTGGTGACTCTTTCAATGATAAGCAGATTTTATGTCGCAGTAATTAATTAATTTTACAGTGAATAATTATAGCAAGCCTGAAATAAGCATGTTTCGTCCCTGCAAAGGGACTCTTTGGAGACTTTTCGGCTAACTCGACAAACATTGCGTTTGAAGTGCCGCTAGCATCAATTAATTAATTTATTATTCATTTATTTATCTATTTAGGTGCCCTAAATAGCTCCAGAAGCTTAATGCTATAGACACTCAAATAATTGGATGTATATTTGTATGTATGTGACCTAGGGACTAAGCTATATCCAGGTTTAATTTTCATTATTTATAACCGAATATAAATTCTTTTCCTTGACATTCCAGATTCTGCTGCTGGCGGAGCCGGCTCAGAAGCGAAATGCCCGATCTGCCTCGATACCGTGACAAATGCAAGGACTTTGAAGTGTAGACACGTCTTCTGTACAGACTGCGTGGAGACCGCGCTGGAGCACAATAACAGATGCCCCGTGTGTAAAGAAGCACAGGGCGTTATTAGAGGAAATCAGCCTAAAGGAGACATGAATATTTACAGAAGTCGTCTAAGCCTTCCCGGCAATAATGGTAACATTAACATCGAAACGTTTACATTAAGTGTTTGAACGATGTTATTAATTAACTACAACTTATGTCAAGGGTGTCGAGAAAGCCCTCTGCTTGCATTATCCCCTTCCCTCTTTTTAATGCTGTGGTTTGGCTTTCTCACACCATGTTGTCCAGTAGAGCTTCCTGAATTTTTCGAAGATACGATGATAATCACTTACTATAAGGTTTTATTTGTTTTATGTCTTATTTATGGAATTGATGAATTTAATTGTTACAAGAATGAGTTCGCATGCATTTGCTTGACCAGATCATAGCGCTACAAATGTATGCCTTTAATGGATTCTACTAACGGTGAAAGACGATTGCCAATTTTGATATATCCTGTAACGGAAAAAGTGTTTGAAAGACATTGTTTCCCTCCCCTCTCTCTTCTCCTTTTCGACGCCGTCTGACAGCAAAACTGCGTCTGATTGTGCGGAGAACTTTGAATTGATACGGGGGAGGGTGAGGACAGTCAAAAAACCCATGCGCAGCGATAGTTTTGTTCAAAGGACGTCACACTTACAGCATGTCCGCCATCTTGGAACTGCCATCCTAGATTTCTACAATTTTTCACTTATCTCAAAACAGCTCCAAAATTGATTTTAAAAAAAATTAGGAGAAAGATGAAAATACAAGAGCTACAAGAGCTATCTTGTAAAATACAAACTCTGCATAATCCAAAAGTTAAATTTAATCTTAAACACCCTTTGAAAAAATGATTGCCATCGATGTTGCCAAACAACTGACTGATTTTGAGAGTTCTGCATGCACGTTGTCAGCATTAGTTTGACTTTTCTTGGTCACTTGGGATAATGTTCGCCGTACTGTACATACACAGAGGAAACTAATGACACGGTGGCGCCAATGTATGAATTTTAAACAATATTATATGACGAGAAAATATAATTCATAACATCAAACCAATATCTTCACCGGGCACTACTAAGGATGTGGAAAATGCGCCACTCGGGTACCGCATATAGTTTCGCATGTGGTGGTGTATTTTCTAGTAAACAACACTCGTGTCTTTATAATAAAGCACAATTCAATGTGTTCCCCGCATTCAAAGTCTAAACCAAAAAGAATGGGTGTCCATTTTTAGGTGTGTGTCTTGCTTTGACTTGTTAATTTTCTTTTAGTTCTTTTCTGCTCATACTACTGTGACTCAAGCATCATCATCACATCAATAATAGTAAAAACACTAGAAAACTAGAAAACTTTATTTTTCATTTATTTGCAGGTTGCGGTGCAATTACCATCAACTATTACTTTCCATCGGGAATTCAAGGCCCGGAACATCCTAACCCTGGTCAAAGATACGACGGGACACAACGCACTGCCTATCTTCCTGATAACCGAGAAGGAAATGAGGTACTGCAGCTCTTGAGAAGAGCTTTTGATGCTGGATTGGTTTTTACTGTTGGAACCTCCGTATCAACAGGACGGCAAAACCAGATCACATGGAATGATATTCACCATAAGACTTGTATGTCTGGAGGTCCTCAGGGGTAGGTGAAAGTGGATATTTTACGATGCACTCGAATGGACTCATGTAGCTTTCATTAATTTTAATGCTAAACTGTTAACAGGCATGCTAATGAATTTCACAAGGGCCAAAAAAGTAGAAAAGTCAAAATAATAAAATGAAATACTAGAGTATTTTGCATATAGCGCTTATTTTATCGCCACATCAAAAACCGCTTTACATCAAATGGACAAACTGAAACTGAAATTGCCTAAAACTGAAACTAAGATCTGTTAAGAGTGTAAAATTTGTTACAAAAGGACGAAATGGTGAGTAACATATTATAAAGCCTTAAATTTCCATAATCCTTCTAAAAATATGTCATTAGTTGTTTTACTTTGTGTGACCCATGTTTTCTTCAGCCTCACATACATTGATCAGGAATTTTTCTATTCGATCACTAAACTGATACTATACCTTTTTAACCATCAATTGCTTCCAAGTGGCTTCATCATCACTGATAACTTATTTTCAATGATATTTGTTACAGCTTTGGATATCCCGATCCAGACTATCTTAGACGGGTCAAAGAAGACCTAGCTGCCAAGGGAATCCGCTAATTGAAAGCAATCCTACGCTTGTTAAAAAAGTTGAAATGCGTCCGGAGTTATTAGCATCTCTGTGTACAATAAGAAATGGAAGATTAAGTAAACAAACAGTTTTACCATAGCTAATTATATAGGTTTGGAATTAAAATAAGCTTCTGCTAAGTAAACTTGCAGTTACCTTTCTTCGCGGGCTTAATTTTTTTTCCCGCTCAAGAGACGTGCGAGACTGGACCCGAAAAATTCCATACTGATGACGAAGCTCTACAGAGATCCATTTAGTGAATCTGATTGGCTGATGCTATTGCGCAAAATTCGAAATCAAGCAGCAGCTTATCTTTGGCATTACAGGCTATATCATCACAATAGAAAGGTTCGGGTCGAGACCTAAGACGATTTCTAACTAGGAAAGAATAAATAAAGTTGAGCGTCTGCAATAGTAATAATGACAATAATCATGCTGAAAGATATGTCGTCATGTGAAAACCTTTTCCTGTTGAGAATTTTTTAATATGCTGGTCTTGCTAAAAGAAGAAACAACCTATAAGCGAAAATAAGGTATATACGCGTATTTAGTGCGCGTCCCTTTCGCAAATTTTGTCAGCCGCGCGAAATAGTGAAAAAATGCAGTCTTTTGGAGTATGTCTTTTCACAAAACTTGAGTTAATAGGTTTCACATTAGGGTTTTACAGTGTCAGCATTTAAGCACATAAGATTAGTGCATGGCAGACCTTGCTGGGTTTGTGTTTAATTCTCAGGAATACAGATGAAAGTCGTTTCTTGGTAGCTGTACTGATTGATGTATCTAATGAACTTAGCTTGACAGCGTTCAAGATATGGACATAACGTATCAGTGAGATATCGTATGTCCCTGAATAGCCTATTACTAGCTTGGTGATGTAACCGTGTGTACTTTTATGTCATCTTGGGTTGTTTTGACATGTAAAAGCAACAAAGTATATTTGTAGAAGTGATGTTCGAGCTGAGGTACCTGGGTATCGATTTATCTTTTGTTGTTAATTGATGTTGCATTACAATACTTGTGATCAAATTGAAGTTAGTCCCGAATCTATGTGAACCATCATAAAACAAATTATTCTTTTTCGAGGCGCTATGATCTTGTCCAGCTTAAGACAAGGCGAGAACCCAGTATGGAGTGTTAGAAAATTGTTTAAAATTCAAAACAGTTGCCGGAACCCCCTCCTCTCTGGAAAACTCCCCTGTGAAATGATCTGTGATACCTCTCTTTGCTGGACCACCAACATTGTTTTTAAAATTTCTTCGCGTGCACCCCTAAGCAAGCCCTTGACGGCTAAAATCATGCAATTTACACTCAGAAGCTAGGATACGAACATCCTAACCTTTCACATGGAATACCCTTCCGGTGGCTAACACGAACATGTGGTTTTCAAGAGATGACAGTAGAGCCACAGTCATAATTGACCTGTCCAAATTTTAACGCTTCTAATCTGGCTACCATTTGCCCAATGTACATGTAAGGGGTAATTGTCAGGATTTCCTACATCGGTAACAGCCTAAGGTTTAAAAACACAATTGTACTGTGAAGAATATAAGGGGATTGAAGTCGGGTGAAAAATTGTTCACAGAGAGCCACTAGTTTATCAGGTTATACTGTCATGTGTCGCCCTCTCTAAGTAATAAAGTTGATTGATAGTTTAATCTAATTAACGATCAAGTGACTGAGATTCAATGAAAAAAGCAGCGTGTGTGCCAAGGATACGGATAAAAGAATACTGATAATTTTTTACTAGAGCGATCATAAAAAAGAAGAAAAGCCCTACATGTATACCTCGTTATTTAAGCGTGAGCGACAGTATGACGCGTTTAAAAGCGAAAGAAAATATCAATCGAGGGATACTGCCACCAAAAAACAAGGAAATTATCCGAAATATACATACAAACACCCGTGTGTTTGGAAATCAATTTGCAAAAGATTGAAGTACTTGTACAAATGTTTACTAACTTCAAGGTTTACGGTAATCATTAATTTACGGTAGCCCTAAGTTTTGAAAATGCTCATCCGGTTGATATTTTCTTTCGTTTTAAACGTGTCATATTGTCGTATACATGTGTCGCTATCCTCCCGTCTTATTAACCACTTCATGGACGAAAGAAAGCGAAAGTCTGTCCAGGTATTCCAACCTTTCTTCAAGAGTTTGCACACGGTGGACATCATAATCTTTGAACACACTCCCCGGCTCGAGTAAAGGGAATTTTTTATCGCGCGCAGCTTACCAATTTCGGAAAACATCAACAGTCCATTTATCTTCATACCAAGTACTTTTAGGCTTTGAACGTTCGAGGAGAGAAACTTCCTCTTGCAACTTTTCGGCGGTCGAAACCGGGAAGACCTTTCCGTAGCTGCTTCGTCCATTTCTCAAAATTGCAACTGAGAACGCCAATGTAAAGTGTGACTGCTTCTAATGAAAAGTCGAAGTTGTGAAAAACACAACAGAATTCATAACACTGACTAACAACCATGTACATGCGCTAATGAAACAAAAGAAAACAAAAACTGACTATTTACATAGTCTTTCTGTTTTTGTGTTTATTGTTAATAAATAAGGCCCTTTTGAGATGCAATTTCATTTAATCTCGGACTTCGTGTTTCATCAGGGTTTCCAAACGAAAACAATGAAATTTTCTCGTGTTTGGAAACCCTGATGAAACACACGCTCTCGTTTATGAAATATCAATTCAGAGTACTTTTCTACCGATTCCAAACAATATTCGAGCGGATAAAGACTGAGCTATCTGTCGCGACTAAATCCGGAACTAATAACAAATGAAATGAAAATACAGCCAATGAAATATAGCTGTTCCCACGGTTAACATCCCAAGGCCAAGGTGATTCAAAGTCATGTATGTAAACATAAAAAATAAATAATTGTTCTAGTCATGTCACAAAAGCACGTCATCTTGCATCCCGATAAAACAGGCTACGTTTGCATTGATTTGTACGGCACAGAATCATAACCGGCAAGTACGAAATCAACACATGCTTTGCGATGATGTCATTTATTTTCGTCCCTGCTGCATTCTGCGGGGAGGCCAATTTTGCGTCCCAAGATCCATCCATCTATCCCTTGTCCCATAAAATCTCACTCCTGTCCGCATTAGCGACATTGCGACAGCTAGCCAGGGTCGGCTCTCGTATTTACAAGGATGATATCAAAACTAATCCAAATAACTATAGATCTATATCTGTCTTGCCGACTGTCAGCAAACCTATTGAAAGAGTAGTCTTCAACCAGTAATATAAAGCTTTAAATTAAAGACAACCGTTAAAGCGCAGTTAATGGAGCTTGACGCTATTTACGTAGTCACTAGCTTACTATTGTCAAATGTAACGCAGTAGAACTGTTACGCTTAGAACATTATAAAAGTCTTTCTAGTTTAAACAATATTTACAATAGCCTTTCACGCATGCATGTCGCAACAACGTCTGGTTTAATTATATCATTCGTTTTGTATGGCTAGTCTTTTAAATAACCCTATTCTTGGTTTGTTCAAGGCCGAATGGGCTCTTTACTTTCCATGGTACACGATTTATGTTGGTCTAAACCCGGACGTTTGTCTGCCCATAAAAGAGTCTTAGCTTGGGCTTTAGCATCATTCACTCGTTATATCACTACTGTAACTTTTAGTTAGCATCAGCTCGTAGTGCTGGGGAGATAAGTAAGGCTTGAGAACTGTCTACACTCTAACACGATGCTGGCCGGAGGTCAGTTCGTAGTGCCGTTTAGAGCTTTTGGCCTCGCCGACTTGTCCGATTTAGGTTGTGTTTTCACTAGGACAATTTTAGCTAGATAAAGTCAGAAAAGTCCGGAAATACAGTGAAAACACTTTGTCTAGTGTTTAGCGAGTTAACAATGCCAACTGTTTTCACAAGGAAAAACAACGGGATTTCTCGCCTTTACGACAGGAAACTCACGCAGAGTTATACTACCTCGCAAGATGGTTTAACTTGTCCCGACAAATACCGCAGCCAATCGCATCGCGTGTAGTGACAGATGCCTGCCAAAAAATCTGGCAAAATTATTTTCCAGACGCTCGCCTCGTGGTTCTTTCGAAACAAAACCTTGCATGCTTGTAAACATGGCTGACGAATAGCAAAACACTTCCCAATTCTTTCGCCGTTTTACAATTCCTCCGGACCCGTTGGATGCTCAGATCCCTCGTCCAGGGTCTTACTTGTTTCACAGCGTCGGCATGCAGAATCAATTCCCGCATTACTGGCAAGCAGCAGTTCTTCCATACCAAGTTCCTATGCCACATGCGTCACCCTCGACAAGCTCAGTCCCGAACAGCGAAAGCGAAAACACAACGAACGAAGAAAATCCACAGCCAGGAGCTACGAACAGGAACCGTGGCTCTAACTGGACAGACGCGGAGACAAGGTATTTACTTGAATTGTGGAGGGATAATTTTCCAATCAGCAACAGCACTGTGTGGGATGCCATCGCAAAGAAGCTCGATTCCATTTTTAAAGACCAGGGAATACCAAGCTACCGCATTGTTACGCAGTGTAAGGCGCGCGCATTAAATACCTTCCGGACGAGTACAAACGAGTAAAGGACCACAATTCCCGAAGTGGCAACAACCGGGAATCGTTCGAATACTACGACGAGATCGATGAAGTTTTGGGATCCAAGCCGAACATCACGCCGAAAGAAGTTGTCGAATGTGGTTTGGCTGAAGATGCCAACGCAACTGCAGTTGGTGACTCTGAAGCTTCACCTGAATCAAACATTCCAGCAGATCACGAAAGCGATACAGACCTTGGATAGACCCACATGGTCTTGTGCTTACGGCGATGTATGTTGTTTTGCCGTTGAATTGCCAGGATTACAACGTTCTGTCGCATCCTCCGCATCTGCCGAGACATTAATCGCATCCTCTGAACGAAACTCCTTCTCTTTCGCAAAAATATAGCGAGAATCAGTACTAGTGAACTCATTAGAAGCGCTTCCTCTCCCGCCATTTTTGAAAGTTGCGCGGTTTTGTAATTTGAATCTTCCGAGTTATTAGTGCCTTAAAATTTCCCAGTAAAAACAGATCTCATGTTTAACTAGCTAATGTCGGTCTGTAAACAAACACATGGAAGAATGTTCAGTAGCTAATCAGTATAGTGAAAACACAGCCTCAGTTCAGAATTAACCGCTGGGGAGATAAGTTTGGCATTTGGTCACCCAATGGAAGTTCGTCTGTCACGCCGATTGCGGAGCGGTGTTCCCCACTTTACGCCATATATCGCGTGTTTATTACTTGTGATTGTTGGGTATTTAAAGCATTACTCCCTAGGAACTGCAAAATTAATGGTTTCTTAATGAGGCGTGATTTACGTGCGGATTCTCAGTCGGGTTTTTGACCTTGTCATTCCATTTTGACTGCCCTCCTCGATATAACCGATGATTGGTTTTCTAATAGGGATAATGGATTACTAAACGGAGTTCTCTTTCTCGATCTTAAGAAAGCTTTCGATACTGTTGATCATGAAATTCTACTCAGAAAGCTCCAATTGTATGGGGTTGACTCCACAAGCTTAAAATGGTTTCAATGATATCTGACTGATCGTAAGCTAAGATCTCATGTAAATGGTTCTCTATCTGATTACGGTTCCACTATTTGTGGAGTCCCTCAAGGATCTGTCTTGGGACTGTTATTATTCTTGATTTATATAAATAATTTTCCCGCGAGTGGCGTATGCTCACTGAACACCAAGACTGTATGCTGATGATACTTGTCTCACCCTTTACTTCTCATGATCCTACTGATCTACAAATAAAACTAGACAGTGATCTAAACAAAATCCAGTCTCGGGTCTAGGCAAATAAAATTAGTTTCAATGTGAAGAAAAGTAAATATTCCATTAGTGCCACTCAATACAAGATCGCTCATTTAGATCATCAACCGGATGCAAGAATAAATGGACATTCTGAAGATAGAGTCAAAACCCACAGATACCTAAGGTCGAAATTGAAACAGTCACTCCAACGTAGCACTCTCAAATTGATCATATTGTTAAGAAAGTGGCTTTGAGCCAC